TCCCAGCAGTGAATAAATACCACCAAAATAAAGCTTTATCTGTCTCAAAAAAATGGTAAAAAATTAATTTGGGTACAGTGTTGCATGACTGCGCAATTGTCATTCAAAGTGTGATAGCGCTGAAAGCTGAAAATTGCCCTGGTCAGGAAGGAGGTAAAAGTGTCCGGTCTGGAAGTGGTTAAGCAGAGGAACTTTACAGAACACGGCAGTTTCCATATCTTGGCCTTCATTTAGTGAATGCAGGCTCTAGTTTGGACTAACATTGTGGTTTACAGCAGAAAGCTCTCGTCATTAATGTGTCTCTACCTGTAGTTTTTATTGGTAGTGTAGAGCGCAAGATCTAGAAAGCTACATTTGTCAGTACTTTTAAAGAAAAAGCAATGCCTATGGGACACCTGCTGATATACTGCTGTTAAAGATAAAGAAGGCTAATGAAACCCCTGAAGCAGAAATCCATTTGAAACATTTTTTTTTTTCCCTGAGGGAAAATTGCCAAACTTTAGTTACCTTTGCTAAGATTCAGTGCTTCCTTCTTGGCCCAATTCCATTGGTCTTTTTGGGCAAAATGACAGTCCTTGTCATTCTGCCCATTTCCTGAAAGTCCAGTCTGTGGTTGCGTCATAATGCAGCCTGGGCTCACAGTACTCTAACATCAGGCAGTGCTCACATGTCAAATATTAATTTCAAAATTTCTAAGGACTACATTTTTTCTGTTAGAATAATTGGACATGACCATGGATCTGTAGTGTTAAGAAATGGGTTTCATGGGTATTTTTTACCATTTGATAAACGCAACATATAAATATAAAAGTGCAGCGCCCCTAAACCTCAATGATTAGATTATAACGAAACAAAAAAGTATAAATGTGTATAATCTCACAAAGAATTAGGATCTTGCCCTCAATATTCCATATTGCAAGCAAAATAAATATCAGTATATCAACTGAGCAGAAATCAAGTGAATAGCATAAATAAACAAATAGGAGGGAATTTCATAAAGATATATACATGAAGGATATACGTCCTTCTTTTTTTTTTTTTTTTTTTTTTGTGGATATAAAAAGTTTACACACCCCTGTTAAAATGGCAGGTTTCTATGATGTAAAAAAAAGAGACAAATTTAATAATTTCAGAACTTTTTCCACCTTTAATGTGACCTATAAACTGTACAACTCAGTTGAACAACAAACTGAAATCTTTTAGATGAAGGGAAGTAAAAATAAAAAACTAAAATAATATGGTTGCATAAGTGTGCACACCCTTAAACTAATACTTTTTGTTGAAGCACCTTTTGATTTTATTACAGCACTCGGTCTTTTTGGGTATGAGTCTGTCAGCATGGCACATCTTGACTTGCCAATATTTGCCCACTCTTCCTTGCAAAAACACTCCAAATCTGCCAGAAAGCGAGGACATCTCCTGTGCACAGCCCTTTTCAGATCACCCCACAGAGTTTCGATCGGATTCAGGTCTGGGCTCTGGCTGGGCCATTCCAAAACGTTAATCTTCTTGTAAAGCCATTCCTTTGTTGATTTGGATGTATGCTTTGGGTCGTTGTCATGCTGAAAGATGAAGTTCCTCTTCATATTCAGCTTTCTAGCAGAAGCCTGAAGATTTTGTGCCAATATTGACTAATATTTGGAACTGTTCATAATTCTCTCTACCTTGACTTATGCAGGCCATAGATGGGCCGGCAGATGCAAAAACGAAAATTTGGTCGTTCAAGCTGCCATCAATGGTAAAAAAAATCGGCCGATTTTCATCCCTTCTACAGCCAGCAAAAAGTGTCCCTGAAGAGAGCTCTGCTGCCTTGACAGCCATTGTATCTATTTATTTCCATTTAGGATACAGATGTTTTTATTCGGAAACAAATAGATACAATGTTTCAACCGCTGTAAATGTCAAGGAACTGTCAGAGAACTGTCAGAAATAGCGGAGCTCTCTGCAGAGACACTTTTTGCTGGACTGGAATTATTCTTATTTTCATCCTACTTCTTCTTCTTCTTCTTCTTCTTCTTCTTCTTCAATCCTCTTCTTCTTCTTCTTCTTCATCCTCATCCTCTTCTTTAAGTCATCCTCATCTTCTTCATCCTCATCCTCTTCTTCTTCATCCTCATCCTCTTGGGTTTCATCCTCATCCTCTTCTTCATTCATCATCATCATCATCCTCTTCTTCTTCATCCTCATCCTCTTCTTCATCCTATCCTTCCTCATCCTCTTCATCTTCTTCTTCATCCTCTTCTTCTTTGGGAGCTTTCTTCTTCTTCTTCTTCATCCTCATCCTCATCTTCTTCTTCCTCATCCTCATCCTCTTCTTCTTCTTCATTTCATGGCCTCCTCCTCCTCCTCTTCTTCTTTCTTCTTCTTCTTCTTCTTCTTCTTCTTCTTCTTCTTCTTCTTCTTCTTCTTCACCCTCATCCTCTTCTTCATCCTCATCCTCTTCTTCATCATCATCATCCTCTTCTTCTTCTTCATCCTCTTCTTCTTCTTCTTCTTCATCATCAGTAATCCTCATCCTCTTCTTCTTCATCCTCATCCTCTTCTTCTTCATCCTCTTCTTCTTCCTCTTCTTCTTCCTCTTCTTCATCCTCTTCTTCATCCTCTTCTTCATCCTCTTCTTTTTCTTCTTTTTGTCTTCCTCTTGCAGGTCACTGCTCATGCGCAGTTTTTTTATCGGTAAAAAATCGGCCGATTCGCCCACTAATTGCCGCGAAAAATCGCCGATCGGCAAAATCGGCCGATTTTTTTCCAACTTTACCGAAAAAAAAAAAACGGCCAAAATACCAAAAATCGGCCGACCAAATCGCCCACTAACGATCCGAAAATCGGCCGATTTTATTTTCGGCCGAAAAATCGGCCGATTTTCGACCCATCTATGGCCTGCATAAGGCCCCAGTTCCAGCTGAAGAAAAACAGCCCCAAAGCATGATGCTGCCACCACCATGCTTCACTGTGGGTATGGTGTTCTTTTGATGATGTGCAGTGTTTTTTTGCGCCAAACATATCTTTTGGAATTATGGCCAAAACGTTCAACCTTGGTTTCATCAGACCAGAACATATTTTCCCACATGCTTTTGGGATACTTCAAATGTGTTTTTGCATAATTTAGCTGAGCTTGGATGTTTTTCTTCGTAAGTAAAGGCTTCCATCTTGCCACTCTACCCCATAGCTCAGACTTATGAAGAATATGGGAGATTGTTGTTACATGTAACACACAGACAGTACTTGCCAGATATTCCTGCAACTCCTTTAATGTTGCTGTAGTCCTCTTGGCAGCTCCCAGACCAGTTTTCTTATCCTTTCATCAATTTTGGAGGGACTTGTACAGTTCTTGGTAATTTCATTGTTGCTCTGTTTGTTCTCCACTTGATGACTGTCTTTACTGTATTCCATGGTATATCTACTGCCTTGGATATTCTTCTGTACCCTTCACCTGACTGATACCTTTTAACTAACTATTATTAGATCACATTGGTAAAGAATGGTTCTCATACATCCTCATGTTGGTGATCAACATGAGAAGGAATACCAGCATTTCAGGAAGAAAAGGGGAAGTGCTAAATGCACTGCAACGAAACGCAATGTGTGTTTAGCTGCAGATAGTCGACCTTGGACGCAGCACCTTCCCTTTTCCTAAACGTAGCTAAACTGTCTGCAACTAAATGTTGCTAATTGTTATGTATAAATCTGATTATTTAGCATTTTGTGAGTCCAGCTGATTTTCTTCTAAATACACCCTAAGCTCTGAAAATTAGATAAGTGTGAATGTAGCCTCACTCTTGGCTGTCTCCTTTTTGGAATGGTTTCATGTTTAGTATACACAAGCCCAGCAGTGAGATGGCATAAAAAGAATTAAGTAGCATTTATTGTAAGATTAATGGTTAAGGGTTAATGGTCAATTCAATTTTACTAGAAGTGTTTTAAGGAACTCTGAGATTGTAGGAAGTTGTGACATTGCACATGTAAAATACATTTCTTCATGACACTTCTGAATTCTGTAGATGGGTAATTGCTGACAGGTCTCCATTCACAATCCTAGTGGTTTAAAGGCTTGGTTTACCAGTTTTAAGCATCATATAAAATGGCACACCTTAGACATTATGGTTCTTTGTTCTCAGGATGAATATGAACAGCTGAACTATGCCCAACAACTGAAGGAGAGGCTAGAGGCTTTTACCAGTGACTTTATTCCTCATATGAAAGAAGAAGAGGAGGTGGGTGTATTCCATTATCTGCTACTCGACTTTCTTTATCTACCAAGAGTGTCCTCTTTTGTGCTTTTAGTGATTTTTCAGTCCTGACAGTCCTGCAGTCAAATTAACATTGATCAAAAATTTGGAGCCGTGTTTTTTTTTTTTTTTTTTTTTTTTTTTACATGTTGGAATTTTGATTTTAGAGGAACTTCTTTTTTAAAGACGCCTACTGGTGTAAATATGAAGCTTAATCTCATGCTCCACCCAACAGTTTTTGGATTCCCCTCCTATTCTTGTAATGGGCTGGCTAACTAGTTTAGTAGTGTGTCTTCTGAGGCAGGTCCTAAACATGGTAGTCCAGCTGTAGTGGTTATTTAGTACAACCAGTGTGACCAGTTCTTTTAATGACACTGGAAACTCCTTACTCTTTAGATTCTTTTCAGCACATATACATAAACCCTAAGGCAGAGTAGTAGATTGCTTCTGAGTAGCCAGTTGATTCATGGGAATCCGGAGAAAGATACTTTGTAAGTTTTGCCAGATCCCAAGTCTTAGCGAATTGATACACACATTTTCATTCAATGGTCATGGATCCACCTGCGGAGGTATCTTTATGTAGCGACACTGTTAAAGGTAGGTGTGTGTGTTTATATACATTTATCTATTTTTGCTGTATAATGATTTCTTGGTGTCCTAGATGTATAATTTCATGGATTTTCTCAGGTATTTCAGCCAATGTTGATGGAATATTTTACCTATGATGAGCTAAAGGACATTAAAAAGATGGTGATTGCCCAGCACTGCTCTCAGAAAGACCCATCAGATCTCTTCAGAGGTCTCAGTCTCTGGAATGAGGCTGAGGAGCTGCATAAAGTGCTTAAGTATTCAGTGGATGAGAAAGCAGAGGAGGGTAAGATGTTGCCTTCCTGTTTGTTCTTTTATAGTAACCTAAGCGTCCCTTTTTGTTTGTTTTTTTATGAGCGGATTGATAAGCAGTTTAATTATAAGCTGAGCAATTATAGCTAGATAGTTTTTGATAAATCCTGAATGTGTATCTGCTGGTTTTCCTGATCTGTATACAACTGTAATGTGCTTAAGGTCTAATTCACACCAGGGTGTTGATCTGTTAGCAGACCTGTAAAGCGCAGATCAACAGAAGGACATCTGAAACACAATTTCCAATGTGTCGTATTCACACCATAACACTGAGTTGACCTACTTTGTATTAAAATGCAACATGTATGTATTTTGAGGCGCAACGAATGTAAGTGCAGTGCACAGAATATCCTGTGAAAATGCAGTACGCTTTAACGTGTGCTAAAATGCAGGTCAACTGACATAAAAATGTATGTCAGCAGACATCACTAAAATGATGTCTGCTGTACATCCATTTTCCATACATTTTAGCGCAAGTCGGTGTGAATTGGCCCTGAAAAACAGATTTTTGAATTGTAAAATGTTCTGAAGCCATTTTAAGGCTACTTTCACACTGATCTGCTGGAAAAAACACATATGTATGTGCTTTTGTTGTGCTTGTGGTTTTTTTTTTTTTCTAAACCCACTCCAAAAATGCTGCAAGCAGGATTTTTTACACCGCAACGGAAGTACAACGCTCCAGTGTAAGCACATACATTGAATTTAAAGGGAACAACAAAAGCAGTCCATTCCTTTATGTCCATAGATCTACCATGCCAGCAGGTGAACTTTTTTGCTTGAGTACTGTAAAAAGTAATAGAACATGTTGTAAGTCTGTAAAAAACACATATCAGATTTATCAGTGAAGTGGAGTTAGTTTAACTTGCAATACTTGTGCAAACAGAAGTTTTTCCTTCTATGTCCTAAGGAGTTGTTTTTTTTTTTTTTTTTTTTTTTTTTTTTTTTTTTTCCTCCCCAGAAGTCACAGCTAAGCCAAGCACTGTATCTATTTCCCATCTTCCTCCAGAGGTAATGCTGAACATATTCAGTTACCTTAATCCACAGGAGCTGTGTCGATGTAGTCAAGTAAACAGCAAATGGGCACAGCTGGCAAAAACTGGATCTCTTTGGAAACATCTTTACCCAGTGCTCTGGTTCAGAGGTGGGTCATTTTTTGTTTTTATTTTACAAACCTTCAAAAAATTCTCTAAGCTCACTCTATAACAGGTCCAGTGCAATTTCAAACAACCATACTTTTAATGTAGCTTATGGTTTATAAAATCTCTTGTACCTTTAGGGCCCTTTAACTTGTGAATGTAATGCCTATGCTTAATGCAGCTGCCTGTATTCTTTTACCATGAATTGCAGTAAGGAACAGTGAAATGCACATTGTACAATAAGTTACCCTAATGCACAACTGAGTATGGTGCAACAGTCGTACATGTGAAAGATTGGTGGGTGGTGTGTGTGCTAACAAGGTCCAATGAATTGGATGCCACTGACAAGTGAGGTTGCAGGCTGGGGAAAAGTTCGTCCAGACCCAAAGCATGCTGTAGAAATAGGAAGAGGTAGCCCGGCCACCCTTAGGGTGCTGTGAAACATGTTGGGTGCATTGGCTTGGACAGATTGAGCTGAGGCTACTTTTTCTTGCTAACCACTCAGCCCAGCAAGTGATCAGCTTGTTATGATGGGGTTGGAAATTGTGGCATGATTGTGACCCACTGACTCCCATTGGTCTCATACAATCTATTCTGTGTTCACCATTTTGAACACCTGCAGATGTGAACTTTCTTTACCACTTTCCTGTTATATTTAAAGAGTTGCACATTTGGCTCTGTTGAGTTTATTGGGGCATCTTCTGGCACACAAGCATATGCATGAGAAAGTGCTGAGTGCAGGAGGATACTGAATAAACATCACAGAAGGGTTTCTAACCCAAGTATAACTACGTTAAATACAGTAGCTAAACTCATTAGTAAATCATAATTATTTATAAAAGGCCAAAAATCTTCAACGCTCCCATGTTACATTTAATTTGTGCTCCACAGTATTCATATTGGATTGAGTCTTTTAGGTTATGCGTCACATTTAGTTTGGTGCTCTGTTTTATATACAAGTGACACAAAGGTGTATGCACTTCATATTATGCCTGTACAGAGTATCACATAGGATCACACTCTTTTTGCTAGAAAGTGACCTCTGTGTGGTATTGTGAAAACACCTAATTGGTGCTGGCTTCTTCCTGTTGGATTATGTATCGGCGTAGGGGTTTATCACATATCTACACATAATTACTTAAAGCAATGCTGGAGCCTGGTTGAGTTGCTGTTTCTCCTTATACCATATATTGTGCCCTAATAAGGTTTCATCCACACACGTGTTTTGCGCAGCAGAAACAGGTAATCTAGTCTTTGTATACCTTGTGAATGATGTCTGAATACGGCAGTTTACGAAGTCTGTGAGTCATGTGTGAACACTGCAGTTTGTCCATGTTTAAAATTCACAGGTGTAAATGGACCTTCAGACTTCTGCATTTGTTTTCCTATTATCTCTCTAATATCACGATTTTCTTCCTAAATGAATTCCAGCTCTTCTTTTCATTGTGAGTGTACAGACTCCTGCATATTACATCTAAAAGGCTGTAAGGAGCTCTCATCGGGGTCCCGAATATGTCCTCCCTTCCCTGCCTAATTGCCATTCATAGAAGCTGTAGTTATACTAAGTTACACTTATGCTTTAAGCCCTTACATCCTTGTGAGTAGTGTGAGTGGACAGTGGTGGGGAAAGGGGGCGCTCTGTCAACTACATTAGCTGAAGAATGAAAGCAGAAATTGGAACAGAATCAGCTGTTCCATATACTTGTTCCTTGGAGGATTTGAAAAGGATTTTTAAGCCTTGTACACAATTTTTTTTTTTTTTTTTTTTTTATATCCTCCTTTAACCCACCGAGCTGAATGGGGAAAAAAACCCCTGAAAGCTCAGGAGGAGCCACTGTACTAACTAATGTTAGTATAGTGATTTTTTTTTTTTTTTCCCCCCCCCCCCCTGCTGTGCTATTGTGTTCTGACAGAGGAGACTGCCCCCCCCCCCCCCCCCAGAATACTGCAGTCAGCAAGTCGGCAGACCTTTTTCGGACATGCCCCAACAGCAGCAGCTTCTCTTGGACCAGCTGCTGTACACATGGGCCGAATATTAGCCGGTTTCTATTGTGTGCTAGGCTTTAGGATATGATGCTTCTTTTTCTTAAATGAGCAGCAGTAAGCAATGGTAGCCTTCAGGACAAAGCCTAATTTTTCTTAAAAATGTTCCTCAGCACCTAACTAGCTAACCTATATTTAAAAAAAGGTGTCTATATATTTGCCTATTTTTTGCCTGGTCTGGTCACGTGATCCCATGTCAGCAGCGGCTGCAGGGGATTGGAGAGAGCGCCTGACAATGGCTTTGAAAGCCAGCAGAGATGACATCATCCATAGGCTCCGATGGTGCAAATGTTGTTCCCGATCCCACCTCTTCTGTGCAGCCACTGCATTTTGACACAGGAGCTGGACCACATGACCAGACCAGAGTGGGCTGAAAATGGTTCACTATATGCAAATATTTTACACAAGTTGATTAGTACAGGTGTTAGGAGTGGGGAGGGAGCATTTTCAGACTAGTTAGGCTTTATCTGGATTTTGAGGTGCTACATAATACTTATTTTAACTTGAAACTATTTATGAATTGCTCCTATTACCACCATTTCAGATATTTTTGCTTGGTCATGCTTTGTAATGTTTACAGTAAGTAACACTTTAGTCTGTGAAACTTCTGACCGGAATTGCTATTTTATGGTTACATTTGCTAACACTATCAGTCTGTGAGAAAAAATAATTATCTGCAACATTATATAATGGCATAGAGCCGCCATTCAGACAACCCTGCATTGAACAGTTACAGGGTAACATAGCACAGGGCTTAAAATTTCAAGTCTAGACCTACTAGCCAGGCACAAACCTTACTCTCCACAAGTTGCCCCACCCAACCTTGCCCAGGTCTGCCTCCAACCCACCCCTGGCCCGTCCCAAGCCCTGCCCCCAAGCACGCCCCCTTAAAGCTTATGAAATTACATTTTTCTTTAGAATAGAGTCTAATAGCTATTTTACATCAAGTCTCATAGTGGATAAGAGGCCAGACTGAGCCTAGAACCTAATTTATGAAACCTATGTAAACGTGTAATGTGTATTCACAGCATCTCTGTTATTATATTAGAAAGTCACATAACACATTTTCTGCCATTAAAGTATTAAAAGGGACACAACGTATTAATAACTGGATGTAAGGTCTATCCATAGACATAGGACAATTGTCACCGAATCCTGGCAGACTGCCAGAGGCATCCCCTGGTGACCATTTGTTGCATATACTATGTGTATGTTCATGTCACTGATGTGTAAAGGTATGCCACCATGTCTGGTGAAGACAACTCGGTATTCTAAAAAGCTTGCACTTAAGTATATTAGGTTAGCTAGCAAAAAGGTGTTGCTTACATTTTCACATCCTTTCTACTATCTATGGCAACGTGGCATATTATTATTACCGTATTGAGTACAGACACCAAGAGAAAGCACTATGCAAGTTTTCAGGTACTACTAAAAGCTATACAACATGTACAATAGGGTGTTTAATAAAAAAGATTAAACTTTATGAAAACTATAGGAGTAGAGGATGGACCTCTAACCGTACACAAAGAATGTACAAATAACCATACATAAACTGAACAAAGTTTCCAGACCATACCCAAAAATACTTCAAGGTCCCCCAAGGCGGTGGAGAGCGGGTCTCTCCTTGTGTCCCCTGCGGCGGTGGAGAGGGTGTCTCCTCTTAGCGGAGGAGAACGGACCTCTCCTGCACCT